TGAGCCGGTGAGATTTGAACCGCTTGAACTGCAGATAACAGTCAGCTGAAGTGGCCTGCAGTACTGCACCCGAACCACTGCTCCACCTCGGCTCTATATACAGGTTTGCAAGGAAAGGGCTTGAGCATCAAAGGAGTTGTAGTCTAACATGGCTGCTGGGATAAGTGGAAGCTGGAGCTTCATTAGGCAGTAAGACTAACTAACTTTCATTTCAGATTGCCACATCGCCTGATGTCCCTTCATTCAAAGAAGAAATGCCACAGTCACACAGGATGCAGAACTTGAGGCTGAATGGACAGGTGATACCAGATCAACACAAACACCATTGGCCATTACAACAGGCTTCAAGGAACCAGTTGGCATCACTCCAACCGGCGGAAATACTCCCAGAAGAGAAAACACCTTTTGTGTTGGACTTACAAAGCCTGACAGGCTTAGCCAATGTGGATCTGAATGCCCAGAATCCAAATATACAGGTAGGCCCATGACTTGCTTAAGCTATTCTTGCTAGTCTAGCCACAGACAAATCAAAAGTGGAAGAATCCTTTGCATCTCTCTGTCTCTTCCCCTCTCCCTCCCTCTTTTCCACAGGCTTGATTTTTTTTCTTGCCATTAACTCTATTGAGGTGAGATATCCTGAGAACTGTTAACTGCCCTAAAATAATCCAATGGTTTTCATGGGAGATACCAAAGTTGTTTCTAATATACCTCAAAAAAAGAATGATTGGGAAATATATAATTTCATTTTTTAATTTTTTTCAGATCAAATTTTTAATATGGTCTTTAAGAAAGTTGAGAATATTTCAATAAAGAAATACTAACAATAGCACTTAGACCTATATGCTGCTTCACAGTGCTTTACAGCCCTTTCTAAGTGATTTACAGAGTCAGCATATTGCCCCCAACAATCTGGGTCCTCATTTTCTCAATCTCAAAGGGTGGAAGGCTGAGTCAACCTTAACCCAGTGAGGCTCAAACTGTTGAACTGCTGGCAGAAAGCAGAATTAGCCTGCAATACTGCATTCTAACCACTACACCTTGATGGTAATGTTAACATTAAATTGAAAACTATGATATATTAATTGCATGAATGTTGGAGCCATACATAGAATAGTGTAGTATTACATAGGGCCAGTCGCTGTCTCACATTAGGCTAGGGTGACAAGCTGGTTGGCTGGTCAATTGTTGTTGCTATCAATGCATCAATGCTTGGTTGATCCAAAAGCAGACCTTATAGTTGTGGAAAAAATGCTAGAAGATGAAGATTCCTTCTAAGCCTATGAAGAATTCATGAGCAGACCACTGGCAAAAATTATTGTCAAGAAAACCACCTTGACTTGTCCATGTAACTGCCAGGTGTCAAGACTGACTAAAAGGCACAAATTATTTTATTTTCTGTGTAACATATAGAGGTTGAATATTGTACCAGTTATAGAATATAAGAACTATCATGATCCTATTTTTAATTTAAAAACTTTCTGTGTCTGCCCCATTTTTTACTACCCTATGGCTCTGAAAAGTCTACTCTAAAATCATTCATTACCTGACATTGCACATAAGAGCATTATAACTTTAAAATTGTTGTTGTTCAGTTGCTAAGTTGTGTCCGAGTCTATACAACCCCATGGACTACAGCACACCAGGCTCCCTATACTCTACTGTCTTCCAGAGTTTGCCCAAATTCATTTTGTGGAGTAGGCAAAACTTAGTGATGCTTACTGATGAAATATGTTTAGTTCAAACTCATTCTAAAATGATGATAAATATGTTTATCATTATTAAATATTGATGGCTGAGAACAGGTTTAAGTATTAGGGCTCTGCAAGGTTCTTGAAAGGAAGGCCTCAATACGTGGGAGCATATTCAAAGCAACCTCTGTCAAATACTTAAAGCAATTATTTATCTTTCTTTTAAGAGCTCAAGACAAAATGCTTTATATACAGTCCTGCATATTCCAAAGGAACTCTTCAAATAAATTATTCAATTTTGTTACTTACATTATTTAATGTCTTTTGAAGAACTGTGCTGGATCACATCTAAAGCTTATGTAGCTCATCATGTTATTTTCATAGTAGTTAGCCAGATGCCTATCTTTATGCTGCCTGCCTGTAATACTGAGGATAATTCATAGTTATTGTGATTTCTAACTATGGATAGCTTTGTTTCCCATGAATATGCTTGTCCCTCCTTTTAAAGGTGCAATGGTTGTGTCTACCCTTCATAACAAGATATGTTGTTAACTAGGCAGTTTGCAGATATCTGTCTTCTTTGAATATTTCACTGTGGAGCTTTATTGAATAACTCAAGATTCAAAAGCTATGAAAGAAAGAGAAAAAGAAACTTTAGCACATTCACATAATCCCAAATTTATATTCCTCAAATAAAGGTAAAGGCAAAGGTTTCCCCTGTCCAGTCATGCCTGACTTTAAGGGGTGGTACTCATCTCCATTTCTTAGCCGAGGGAGCCAGCATTATCAAAATGCTGGCCACATTATGGTCATGTGGCCAGCATGACTATATGCCGAGGTGCACTGAAGTGGTACCTATTTATCTATTTGCATTTGCATGCTTCCAAACTGCTAGATGGGCAGGAGCTGGGGCAAGGATGGGAGCTCACTCTGTCTTGTGGTGCTCAGGTCTCAGATCCAGGCTATTAGCTTTCCAGCTGACAAGCTCAGCTTCTTTAACCACTAAGTCATCGCGCGCGCCCCCATCCCTCATAGTTCTGCTTAAATAGAAATAGAAAATATGCAAATAGAGTTGAAAATTAATTTCGTTGGAAAGAAAATAAGTGAGTGTGAAGAATAGTTGGAGAAAGCAGAGAGAAAGAGCTACAAGGACAATTTTCTTTTCGGACAAGAAAGGTAAGATGTGAAAGACTATAGATAGTTGAAGGTAAAATATGCTGCTTACCTTCTGATTTAGTGCTGATGCTTCCAAAACAGTCTGATTCAATGCCTTGACTTCCAGGTGACCATTGAGGTGGTGAATGATCCTCAAGCAGAGATGGAGATGGACTTGCTGAAGGAGACTAGCAATGACTGGTCCCTGTCTTCCTCTGACTGGTTATCTCATAAGGACCTCTTTTGGCCTCTTTTCTGGGAATACACAGATCCCATAGAGGATGGTGATGACAATTTGAACACAAAGAGCAGGGATGAAGAGGAGGAGGAGGAGGAGGAGGAGGAGGAGGAAGAGGAAGATTATACATCGGAGTATGACGAAGAAGAAATAGTACTGAGTGGAGTGGGGGGAAATTGGCATCAGAGGTGGCCTAATCGAAAGAATTGGATCTTAAAAGAGAAATATAACTATGGTGAGTCTACCTTTTTTGCTCTTAATAAAACTGATCTGCTGATCTCCTTCCATTAAGGGACAAAGAAGAATAGCTGGTGAACAGTTCATTTTATATGATCTCACCGTGTATAGAATGAGCTTGTTAAATCTGAGCATTTTTCATTCATTACTGGCATGAAATTTACACTTCCCTTTATATTGCATAACACGAACAGCTTTTCCCAATCAGATATTTATATGTTGGGATTGCTACTGCGAGAATTCCAATCAGCATAGTCAATGACTGGGAGTTCTGGAAATTGCAGTCCAAGCACATCTAGAAGGCATAGTTTGTATTGGACTACAAGTTGAGAATTTTGAGGCAGAGTTTGATCAATGGATGGGACTTTTGGGAGCTGAACTCCCCCTTTTGTTCCTCAGTAAAAAAAAAAATCTAGTAAAATGTAGCATCATTTGCAAATGAGAGCATGATCTCACATTGAGAACCCTGAGGAAAAACTAACCCTTCATGAGAGAAGTGGAGCTCACATTGACTTCTATGTATCTTGTAGAAGAATTCTAACTTTGTTCTTCACTAGACTTTGTTGAATCTTCATGAGTTTTGTTTTATTTTGTTGTTGTTGTTGTTGTTGCTGGCTTCAGATTATGAAGATGAAGAGGACTGGAGTCCTTGGTCTTCCTGCAGTGTAACCTGTAGCAATGGCCATCAGAAGAGGACACGGTCTTGTGGTTATGCATGCACAGCCACAGAATCAAGAACTTGTGAGCTGCAATACTGTCCTGGTATGTTCTAATTTTCTGGGCTGCAATATTTCCATAGGCCCTGCTTTAACATTTCAGAGTTACTCATTCATTCATTAATATCAGTCTATGGGCATGCTCTATTGCTATCTCATCTGGACCATGTGGAAATTCTTTAAGTTTATAGAAATTGTCTTTTCAGACATCCTATGAGAACTAATGTGGAATCTGAGAAGGAGGAAAATTCTTTTGGCTATGATTCCTCTCCCATTCTTTGCCCTTGAATGTTGAGAAGCCCCTCTTCCTCCATTTCCTTGATACAATATAATGACGACATTTCTGGAACTGAATTGTCTCTTGCAGTGAAGTAAGATTTGATGACAGTCTTGAAAAATCAGTGGATCCATTATTAATTGCAACCATTTCCACTATACCTTTACTCAGCTGTTTGATATACCAGCTGTATTGAGGCCATCAGTTAAAAGTCTATTGTGAAGTTCAAAAGAAAGCTTTTAGCCCTTTCCATATGTGGGAGGAGATTGTGGTCCTGGAAATGGTAAGAAAACTGGTGGAGGAACATGTTCAATTTCTATTCCTGTAGACCTTTTACATAAAGCAGGTTGTATCTCACAGTGTACACTCTGACTTGTTTGCTTCTGTGCTTTTCTCAAGGAGAAGTTGGGGAATTGGCTTCTACCACTGAAGAGACACCATCTGAAGCTGAAAATGCCACAGAGATTCTAAATGCAGGCCAGTAAAGTCTTTGCCCTTAAGACAATAATGTTACAATTGTTATTAGGGAGCAACAAGAAACTGCATTGTAATGTGGATCTGTCACATTCATTCTTCTGAGAACTATATGTGAACAAAAGTATTGGTAGCCTTTGACATTCAAATTTTGCTATCCCATTTTTAGGCTGGAACAAATAGGCATTAAGATATATAAAGTTTTGTGGAGATCTTTATTAATTCTGCAAATGGATGCAGAAATGGCAAGAAATACAATTAAGAATGGAAAATGAAGGGAATTGAAGTTAACAAATCCCTCCACTGTTAATTGCTACTCCAAATAATTATTTCACACCCTATCAGTGGGAAGTATCTGCTATTGCTACTATTTTCTGTAGACACAGGAAAAAAAAATTTTTTAGTAAGTAAAGATTTCAAAATAGGCTCAAGGATCTCTGTTTTACTTCCTACTACCCACTTCTGAATTCAAGAAGCTTTGCTATTTGTCCTTCAAAGTTTTTGTAAATGTTTCTTACATTCATGCTGTAGTTTTAATAAACACCTGGGCCAACATGCTTAAAATCACCCTTCCCCAATGTAGCATCTTTTCATATTTGCTGGATTACAAAATCCATAATTTCTAATCAATATGAGCTCCCTCACAGGATGCAACATATTTATCAACTTACTGGGTGGTCATTCTGATGGGAAAGGCTAAGCTGAACCATGGAAGTTGTAGTAAAAAGTATTTGCTTTCTTAGAATTTGGACACAATTCATAAGATATAATCTCCTAATGACTTATGCTGATTTGATTCTCCCTTCCTTTCCCAGATGTGGATAGTTGTGAGAAATGGCTTACTTGCAAGAGTGATTTCCTCAACAAATACCTAAGCAAAGTGCTTTCAGACCTACCCAACTGTCCCTGCGCTTACCCTTTAGAAGCTGTTTATAATGCTGTAAACTTGCAAGATGAGCAGAAGGACAAGAACTTCCGATGGCAGGATGCCAGTGGGCCAAAGGAGCGATTGGACATCTACAAACCCACAGCCCATTTCTGCTTGCGTTCCATGCTGTCCCTGGACAGCACCACTCTAGGTGCCCAACACTGTTGCTATGATGAGAACACCAAGCTCATTACCCGAGGCAAGGGAGCAGGAGCGCCCAACCTCATAAGCACAGAGTTCTCTCCTGAGTTACACTACAAGGTGGACATGCTGCCTTGGATCCTCTGCAAAGGGGACTGGAGTCGATACCATGCTGTGCGGCCTCCCAATAATGGGCAGCAGTGTGCTGTCAACCCTCCAGAGGATGAATACCTTTCTCAACTACAGGAGGCCAGAGAATATTAATATAGCAACCAAAAGGAGGCTGAGGAGATCAGAACACCTTTCTGTCTCCCGGGCTCAACAACATAACATGTATTGTTTCTTCAACCTCGCCCCAATATTTATGTCAAAGGTCTCTGCAACTTCAGAATTATATGTTATTTTTTATCACCTTAGTAACAAGGTAAGTTTATACGGCAGCTTAAACAATCTCCTCAGATGTTCCAGCCCTGACTTCTCTATTAGAACCTCTGATTTGTTTTCTGTCTTTTCTCAACACTCAGAAGTTATCCCAAACTGACTGGCTTTCAGGGGTGTTTTAGACGCCTAGCAATCTGTCTGGAGGGATTTGGGGAAAGAGAAGAGCCCATGATTTTAAGAGGCTATCTTGATTAATTTGCTATTTTGTTTGCCATGTCTTACAATGCAGGTTGTGAATTCCTTTTGCATAAATCTGATGGGTGCTCATAGTGAATAACATTCCAGAAATAAATTAATATCCCCAAATTATGAATTTAGGTAACTTTGTCAGAGTCTTTGTAGAGAGAAAGAGTGTGGATATACTCTTACATAATTTTGGCACAGTCCTAGGAAAGAAAACAGAATATGCCATCTTATATGTTACATTCCATACATTTAAGGAAAAACTGGAAGATGAGGTGGAGATGTTAGAAGGTTAGGAATGCAAGTTCCATGACGGATATGAAACATACTCTTACTAAGTGGAGATGAGGCTAACCTGCATCCAAGGCTCATGGAACAAACCAAATCCAATTTCTATCTAGCTGAATAGATAACATTTTGGATTGTGTAATCCTCACTCTCCCCAGCCCTCCTCCGAAGGTATATGTGAAAGAATCCAGCTGCCTGAGAAAGTGCATATAACATTACTCCAGCTTTCCCTACCAAACGTGTGTCTCTCCATATTTTCTGTCTATTGGGACAAAAGCTGGGAACTCTTGAGTAATGTATTCTTAACTTTTCTACGAAACATTAGATTAGGAAAGTCTTTCCTACACTATGTCCTTGAACACCTCTCAGGGTGATGGAAGGGAAGACTGTACTTCAAGACCAACATGTTCCTGCTGGCACAGTTTTGTGGTTGTGCTGGGCAGATGGTCCTTGGCAAAATCTGTATCTATGCTTACGCATTTTGTACTGAATCCTGTCAGCTACTAATCCAGTCAAATCTCTTTACTGCTGCTGCTAACAGCGTATGATAACACTACCTCAGCAGAAGTCACCATTCTGCATACAGAGTCCTGACCCAATTTCTCCTGGAAGTGCCTGATATCCCATAAGCCATTGTACCAAGAGAGGTTTCTGGTCTCTCTCACAGCTGCAACTGAAAGGGCCACACAGTCATAAAACCCAGCAACTGGATAGGAAGAGAACTCCTAAAATATGTTGGTAATCCAACTGAAGCTCAGCTGACCACCAGCTTCCAAAAATCTCCTCCATGTCCCCTGGAAGGCCTGTCTGTGGCGACTTGGGCTGCAATGTTAGGGAAAACACTACTTTCATGCCATAATACTGTAAACTGGCTTCAGTTGCCTCAGCAGAAGGCTAATAATGAGATGGTTACGTTGTGAAATTATGTTCAGTAACAGTTAACAAATCATTTTTATGCCACTGCAAGTAGGGCATACTGCTGAGGTCTTCCTAACATAAACAACTTTTTCCTCAATTTAAGACAGATAGAAATGAGGTATAAAGGAAAGGGAGAGAAAAAGAAGCAAAGGAAAAGTGACAATGCTCCAAAGCTGCACTTATTCCAAAATAATTGCTACCTGTTCTGGCTCCTGTTCCTGCTGCCACCCTCTGTGCTGGCAATGCTTCTCTCTACCACACTCCCATGGCATCTGCTCAGCCAGTTCTTGCCCAACATTCTGATGTTCCCACAGCCTTTGCAGAAAATAAGCTGCCAGAGAAAAGGCATCCAAAATCTAACTACCAGGTCAGTCCAACCTATGAGAAGTTAAATATACTTGTGGAAAGAAGGAAGCCAGCCTTTTTGGGGGGGGAGGGAGAAATGAAACAGAAAAAGACCCAGATTCTCTAGCTGCAATAAAAACCCCAAGAGTATTAAAACAATCCAGAAAGTCAGAGAAACACATACAAGTAACTCAAATTACATTCCTGTCATGAACACACAGCTGTGTTTGTCTGACTCATGACCTATCTCCATCACCTAAGCCAGATGGGATACCAGAACATATAAACTGCACTGTTGGGCACATTGCTTATTTGTATTGGGGAAAGAACTTTAGGGTAAGAATCTCTGCTGGGTTTTTCTCCTTATTTGGAATAATGGTTGGTTGTAAATGCTAAAAAGTGGAGCGACTGTAAGCAGGCTTCACCTGTCTGTGTATGTCTTTAGCCTTTGCAGCAGGGGTGAAATGCTACTGGTTTGGACCAGTTCACCTGAAGTGGTAGTAAAACAAAGCTACCAGTTCAGGTGAACTGGTATTTCTGACGATCAGCTGTGATGCGCAATTTATATTAGCTAGAAAGGAGGATTTCCTGCTTTCTAGCTAATCTAAATCGCGGGGCACAGCAGATTCCCCCTTGCTGTTTGCTTACCTTTGCAGGTGCCCTCTGTAGCAGGCTCCGCCCACCCGGACATCATAACGTCCGTTTTTGATGCTCTGTGCATGCACGGAAGATCCTGTGCATGCATGCATGTGGTGCAAGTGCACACACGCTCGCTCATACTGCTACCAAAGGTAGCAAAGGTAAATTGATTTCACCTGATTTGCAGCCAACCAATCCTAGGAAGACATGTTCAGTGACAACTGAATGTGATAATAAGTTTTGTAATGGAGAACTTGGATCTCCCAGCCATTCTGTAGCTCGACTCAATTTCCTACAGGATTAAGTAGGGAGGTGTCTATAGCTATCCCATTTTAAATTAGGTTGGGATACTTGCATAACAGGGCTAAGCAAGGAAAGGCACTTTACCTTAACTGGGGTATTTTGGATTACAACTGTCCTCCCATACTGTAATGGGTTTTGGTGTTTATAGTTCATGGTGACTCTGCTCCTGTTCCAGTTAAGATTATTTGCAGTGACAGTTTTTCGTTTAGGGCTCCTTTTTTGGTAGAAATGGGTGGGATAAGCAATATTAATTACATACAGTATCTGTTGGTTTCTGAGCTTGTGAGGAGAAAAACATTTCCAAATGATATTCTTTTTTTTGTTTATTTCAGTGGAATTTTGTCTTTCACACAGGCAAGATGAGGAAAGCTAACATTTGGAATATTTGATAACCATTAAGATGTCGCTGGAAATTTAACATCTAAGTTGTTCAAATTTTGGACCTTTCTTTAATTAAATGAAACCCAATATTTTGTATGAATAAATTATAAAAATTAAACACCTACACTAATTACTTAACATAATTTATTATGCAAATATATCAGTCAACAAAGCCCTCTTTACTATGACTTTTTCTCTCCTAAATTGTGATTTTTACTATATATTTGCTAGAAATGCTTTAAAAAAAACAATGTTTCAGATTTATACCAATTAGCAAGTTTCATTCTGGAATATCACCCTTGCACAGTAGATGTTCACATTATATGCATGTTAATATATACCCTAATTTGCTCTCTGCATCTCTCATGCCAACTCCTTGCATTGTTCTGTTTTTCCTTCCCTGAGGTCACAGTTTGTTAAATGTTGCTTTATTGTTGCACTGTTGCTGTCACTGTTGTTTGCTTTCATTATTATTATTGCAGGAACTGGATAGAACTTTTGGAAAAACCAAAAGCTCCTTTCCTCCTTAAAGACTTAGCTGGTACTGATGAAACCATCTGCTTGTTGTTGGAATGGGTTGGTAGCCATGTGACCTCTAGTGTACGAATAAGGAACTGTGGAATTGTTGGGTGAACAATCGAACCTAAATTTTGATTGAGACAGGGAAACATTACTTATTACCGTAGCTACTTAATTATTATTGGGTATTTATCTCCAATTAGAAAATTTAAAATATTTTTGGAACACTTGCTGCATCAAAATTTGCAATTGTTGTGGCAAAGGTGTTGTGGCATCAGGCCCGTTGAGAAAACAAGCCAAGCCCCCTGTTCTATTTGTTGTTCTATTTGTTCAAGATAGGTTTGTTGTTGCGTGTAAACCTGCATCTCTTAAAAGTAGCAATACTAGTAGATTTACTTAGTGCCCATAATTAAGCATGTCATGAAATATATAACTTGCAGTATCTTGTCTGCAAAGAAAACTCAATTAAAAATTAAAACCAAATAATTCCTTGGGGCAATATAAACATATCAACCTGGTTCATCAAAAGAAATATCAATATTTCAAATTGTCAAGAAGATGACCAACTGCTGTTATTCTAGTGCTGTAGTGGAGGACATGTTAATGGCATCCGAGAAAACCCTGAAAATTTGTGGTCATTTTTTTTTTGCTACCACCAAGTAGTTAGTGGACCATAGGTAGTCGGTCTCCTTTTGCTCTTTTCATGACTCTAGTCAAATAACAGGTCTTTTGCTTTTACAACACTATATTTGGCTTCGTGGCCACTGACATTTTAGTTTGAATATTCATCTTCAAGTTTCAGAAGTTGTCAGCAGTTGGTTCCTTAAGTTTTTGCTTGTCATTTCCCATTATGTTCCATTCCCCCACTCCCCCTGGGATTCTGCTGGATGAATTACTGAAGTCATTACTCCTTCAATCCTCACTGAAACTTGCTAACTGTTTTACTTTGTTTCATTTTAGGGTCTTCTGGGTTTTCTTCATCTTTTCTTTTTTTTGATTTCACTGTTTTCTTCTCCAACATATAAAATAATAATACAGTAACAAGAGCACCATATGACACAATGTGTTTAAAATACTGCAATAGATTATGCTGCTATTTTTTGATATGCAAGAAGAGAAATCTGAGAACATATAGAAGTCTAAGTTCAAGCTCAAAGCATCCAAATTCAAAATATATATCAAGGAGATCATTCTTGATCTACAGCTCCACACATCCTTTTGTTGTCTTAGTGTTGAAATGGTAAGGATCACATAGCTGCTGCATTTTCTATCACTTACCTGCTTTTTTTCTTGTTGACAATGACCTTATGTTTGTCACATCAAAATTAGACCAGCTTGTAAACAAGAGATCATTGTAATTTGTCTAAATGAGGAAAAAAAACCTGAGGAAGGGTCCAGAAACTATTTAAATAACTTGCTTGGCGTACTTTTCCAAAGGAGGTATTAATGATTTATCACCTAAAATACAAATACTGGTTGCTAAGCAACTGATTATACAACTTATATCCAGATGTGATGATTGTCTTACAATCCTTTTTGTGGATGTTACTCTTATTGCCTTTTAGATCATAACCATCTGCTCCTCTAGCTCTTATCCTTTTTGGTGGCATTCCCTTTGGACAGGCATAGTTAGAAGGTTCCTCTGCATTGGGAAAAGATGGGAAACACTATATATTAACTAATTCTGAGCTGTTGCAATTGCTTATGTATAAGTCTCAGTCCTTTGTGAATCTCAGATTCAGGCAGTAACTCATGGCTGGTTGGGTCACATTTAAGGCTATGACTTGATATATCTTGACTGTTTATCCCACTTTCAAAAACCAACTTTGGCAAAGCTGCTGTATTGCCCTGCAGAAGGTGGCTGTTAATGCTATCTCTGTTAACCATTTAAAATGTTGCATAACTACTGTTACTCTGATAAAATAGTGAAAATGACACCTCAACAATTTCTGGATGAAACTTGAAGATGGTATAAGTGATTAAGTGAGAAAATGGCCCAAACTGTCTTATTTAACACTTTTGAGATAGATCAGGGGTGTCAAACCTAAGGCCCAGGGGCCAGATCCGGCCCACAGGGTGCTTAGATCAGGCCCGTGGTGCTGCCCTGGAAACAGCGAAGGACCGGCCCACAGGGCTTCTGCCAGTGAAAATAGGGCTGCTTGTGGTCCTCCCGAGCACCGTTTTCACTGGCAGAGGGTTGCAGGAGGCTATCGCAGCTGAAAACAGAGCTTGGGAGCCCGGTTTTGCTGGCAGAACATTCAGGCCACCACAGGCACCCCTGATACAAGTGACCTTGATCTGGCCATGCCCATCCTGGCCACGCACCTCGGGCCCCCCAAGGTCAAATACAACCCTGATGCGCCCCTCAATGAAATCAGGTGCGATACCCCTGAGATAGATAGATATAACGTGCAAAAATGCAAATAGCTGCTACAAATGTTTTTTCATAGTTGAGCATCATGAATAAATCATGCAAAAGCAGATTCCAATGGCAAATGGGATTTCTCTTTATTTTCACATATCCTGAAGATCTGGTGCCGAGGCTCCCACAATATATGTGAGGTTAAATTACTCTCAGTGTGCTTAGCGTAGTCAGGTTTGAGAAAGTGGTTTGCTAAATTTAAGTAGCAGCCACTGTAGAATAGTAGCCTAGTGTACCACTGAATCTAGATGCTCAAACCAATTCAGTCCGCGTGGTAATGGTGGAGAAAGATGATAGGATTTGGGAAAGCTGCCTGTCAGATTTCAGCCAGAACTGACCTCTCTTCTTTCCTTTCAAAAGAGACATATTTATGGATCAGGCCTGGTGGTGCAGTGGTTAGAATTTATATTGCAGGCAAACTGCCTGCAGCCTGAAATTCTATCCTGATAGGATTAAGGTTGACTCAACCTTTCCTCTCCACAAATGCTGCATAAAAAGGAACAAGTAGATAATTTGTGTGGTTGTTCCTTCACCCACTGCTCTAGTCTTCCTCCACAACTTCTTTCCATAACATATAGGGCCTTTCCCCATTGCTGCGTTAGTGCCCTCTGCCATCTCTGAGGCAGCAGAAATATAATAGCATAATAGGACTCATCTCCATCCTTCCTTGATTGCTCCTGTTGAATCAAGTAATTGGTTGATTCCTTTGCTACCTCCTGCATGACTCAGCCTGCAGAAAGACATCCCCTAATATAGAATAACAGAGTTGGAAGGGACCTTGGAGATCTAATGATCTCCAAGTTCAAGCAGAAGAACCTATACCATTCTGGACAAATGCCGGTCCTTTTTTCAAACCTCTAGTGGTAGACCATCCACAACTTCTGGAGGCAAGTAATTATAGTACTGCAACAGGAAACATGGGCAGGGGAGAGAGTAGGCTGGCTAGAGGATTCCATCCATCATCCGTGGACTTCTTCCCTTCCTCCTTTCACTTTATTTTCTTGTACCATGAGCTGAATAGAAAACATTAAAAACTTAAGATTCACAAGCAGCACGTTTCCTTAGGAATTCTTTCCTTTTCAAACTTTCTTTCTATAGGCAACACATGCTTGCCTGCAGATTCTTCCATCCTCTAGTAAGCTCCCTAGGGTAGGGAAGAAATGGTTATATGTACAATCTTATTTTAGGCTGTTTCCCAAGATGTTTCACTATTATCCTGTTTCATGCTCTTTGAATACCTGGG